AAGGGTGCATTCTGGAAGCAAGAAACAGTTTTCTTTTTTTCTTTTTTTTGAAGTTGTCTTTATTCCACAACCTTAAACATTTGAAACAGTGAAAAAGCATTTTTGGAAATGCTTTTTCATTTGAAATATGGTAACGATTTGCTTCCATAGAAAACAAGAGCTTCTCCATTTCTATCTCAAGATCTTCTGGGAATGTCTGCAGCTTTCTGCTATGCTCAGGGGAAGGTGACCCGAAGTACCCCTTACAACTCTCTGTTATGTGTTGAATCACCAAATGCATAACAGCCCAGTCATCATATGTCAGAGGAACCATGTGAAGGTGGAGGAGGATGCAGAAGGTAGAAGGACAGTTCTGAATCCTGATAACAGAAAATGTATCTCCAACATTCTGTCCTGGTCCAGCTCCCATTCATTGCTTAATGTACCTGTTGGCAGGTTTTGCACTGTACAAAAGTAGAGCTTAAACCTTCTCTGTGCTGGGCTCGGAAAACTTAGATTTCTCTTCTTTCATATATTGATTTATGGTATTTACTCCCTGAAAAAAGTTTTTCACTTTGTTTCAACTGCAAGGCCTCACAATGTCTGAGTGAGGGGTGTCTGTAGACAAGATATACTTATTCCCACAGCAAGCCAGATTCTTTCTCAAGGTTTATTCATAACATGTTACTGTTTAACCAAAGTGTCTGTAATTTGTTTTGACTCTGACTACTTTCCATTATTGTAAGTAAGGAGGAACGAACGCTGCCCTGATCAGAACAGGGCTGATTACCGTGCAATAAGGGCCGTATGATGAACTGTTTCTCTTTGCAAAGATAAAATAAAGTGCCGACTGAGTAAAATCCATCGATCTGTGTTTATTTAACTGGGGTGAATAGTTGAATACTTTTTTCCCACAACAGTGCGTTGCAGAGCTGGTCGCAATGTTGATAAACAGATACCCATGTCTCACAGAGAGAGGATGACATGTTGGTGACCAAAGCAGCCAGTGGAGTGTCAGGTGCACTCTCTCCCTGTCGGCTGTGATGTTTCTGGAGGTGGAGATGATCACGGCCTCCTCCTTCACATCCTTCTGATCCGGTGTGGTTGAAGTAGAGGCATCTGACGTCGCCGGTGTTTTTGCAGAGCAGTAGATTGCATCTACCGGGGTGCAGATCACTCTTTTGATGGGGGCCATTATGGAGAGCCTTTGGACTGGTAAGATATGAGAGCCTGCATATGTTTTTTTCTTCATCCAATGCATGGTAGTGGGTGGAGAATAGGGTGGGGACATCTTGACAGCTTTGAGTAACAGTCAGTTCAGTAGCAGCCATTCAAAATGGTCCTTCCCAGTCAAAAACCAGCCGAATGGCAGCAAAATCCCCTCCATCTTCCAGGGCCCATCAAGGAAAGTGAGGAAATGTTGAATGAATGTTGAATAAAAATATCTCAGGTCATGGCTCATGCGCCTCAACCATAGACTTTGCATGTAAACCAGCTGCTTCTGCTGCTCAAAGCGCATGTGGTGTGAACATAGCATTAATGCCCACCCTGGGATGTTATCAGCCTTATGGAGGTTGATTCCCAGGAGGGTCTCCCTCATGTCTACTGTGGTCACAAGGAGGTGCATCACCAGGAAGTGAAATGATTCCGGTACTGACAGGGAGGAAGAAATCCTACAAGCGAGCATAGAATCTGTGGAGTGCATCTGGCAATATGGATGATATGACCGAATGAGTGTTAATTAAGGACGGAGTATGGAGAGGTTACTTTTTAACTCAGGCTTTTTAGGTTTGGAGGGCTTGTCTTCCTTAACAAATAAATGTGGGAAGGGAAAGGCAAGAATAGTGATGCTGTAATAGGAAAATGTTGCTGTCTATATAGTAAATATATACTAAATAAATACATATATTTTGGAAAAATCCTTTTTCAAGTGATTATCTTTGGATAGAAGGCATGCACAATTTTTGAGTGTGTGTATATATATATATATATATATATATATAAATCTTTTGTATACAACGTTGTTTAAAAGAAAGCAGGAAGTCAATGAATTTGTCAGCTCAGTATTTATTGAATCATACCTTTACTGTTTAATTTCAAAGAATAATCATGATTGAAAGGTCAAGTGTTTAGGATACAGTGACCTCTAGTGGCAAATGTTTAAATCACAAACAACATAATGTTACAGCCTTATCTTCAAGCAGTAAGTGAAACTAATGTATTTTCCCTGTTTTTCATAACAAATCTACTGTGAGAATTCCATTGTTAAGTTAATTATGTTGGTATTTCCACCTGTTTCTCCCCAAATGGAAATTTAAACAGTACATATTACATTTCCCAGTGAAAACTGCAGTCCTTTCAGAACACAGAAGATGAATATCAAACTTTCATAAACTGTAAAACATAAATGACAACTATTTAAGTTAAAGTTATTTTTCTTTGGTCTGTCTTTATGTCTTTAATTTCCTTTAAAATGTGCCGTAAAATACATGACATAAACGTTCATATTAAACATGACACATCAGATAGCACCAAAACATGATATCAGCATGTTGTCTTTGTGACACAGATGGATCTGGACAAATACATACAGAAAAAATTATATATACCTATCAAATACATATCATCACATAACATTTTAAAAATAACAAAAGAGTATAAAAAAAAATAGGTAAAGCTAACTGTTTTTTTGTGCTTTTTGAATTTTACTAACTAATTTATTGACAGATCAGGGCTGGTCAAGTTAACCCTTTAATTTCACATTGATTACTTAGACTATTAACGGCAATATTTACTTCATCTTGCATTAACGCATGTTTCTTTTATTTTGTGAAAGTCTGTTCCTGACTGCTGCGTTTTAGGGTCTGACTCATGCTCCAGTAGCCTGACGCAGTCCGACCCAATTCTAGTCATAATATGAGTTTGATGCTGCTCCATAGAGCTGTGATTATGGGGC